TAGTGATATTTTTTTACGTAGCGAAGTATAGTGGGATAAAGTTTTTTTGACTTTATTTGACTGCGTTTTTACGGAACTAATAAACTACTAGGTCGCGAAGATATTAGTAGTGCTTTAGGATTCAAAAAGTCCTTGATTTATTACCGTTCCGACCATTTTATTCAACCATCGGTAAAAAAGCAGAAAACGTAATCATTTAATCTTTGTGGTACCTTGTTTAGGTTTTATTTTTTGAAGTTACCTTAACAAAGAAACAATACTTTAAGACCCATATTTTAAGATCCCAGACGTTATTAAAAAAAATTTGATATTTTAATCAGGGTCTCTTTGTGGATTTAAATAATATTTGTAATTTTTTTTTTAATTATATATATTTTACCGTTGGACAATAATTACAATAACAAAATAAATAAATAAAAAATTTACATGACAGGAGCAAAAAGAAGACTATAGTTGTCTTATCACTAAGCTTATTAATTTGTTTTATTAACATCTAAAGACTCGTACTCGTACAGCCGTGTGCAGTAAAATAGTAGCGCGTATTTTATTTTTCTATCAACAAACTTTGAACATCAAAATATATTTTTCTATTGTTTGTTTTTTATCGTTATTGTTCATAAACTAAATGTTGTGATTATAATAGTATAAAAAAAAAATTAAAGAACGATAATTGCAGCACTGTATGGTTTTGAATTTTAATATTATCGATTGAAGATTATTCGTATTTTTTTTTAGACTGTGTAATAAAATAGTAGTGAAAATTAATTTTTGTCTAATAATTGCTGTCCATATTAAATTTTAATTATTATTAGTTCTTAATAATAAGCTATAAGGAAGTAATTAATTTTGATATTAGACAAATTTATACATTTACTAAAATTTTGAAATTTTACAGAAACATGGGGCACTCTTAGCATTGTACTGAAGAAGTTCGTAATTTAATTATAAATCTTAAAAATCACGGTAAAACCTACAAACAAATACAAGAACTAGTTGGATGCTCATCAACAATGATTTGTAATGTTTTAAAATGGAAACCCAAACCAGAAAAACATGGAAATAAAAGATCAACTACCGCTATAGGACATCGTCGAATTGTATTGTTAGCGAAAAAGGAGCCATTTATTTACTTCTAGAAAAATTAAAAAAGGCTAGAATTAAATGCTAATACCTCAACTATTCAAAGACGATTAATACATGTTGATTTAAATGCAAGAACACCTAGAAAAGTACCACTTTTGAGTAAAAGATATATCGAAAATTGTTTAAAATTTGCACGTATGCATGCTTCTTGGCCTAAAGAAAAATGGCGAAATATTTTATGGACTGATGAAATCAATGTTGAAATTTATGGTTCCCATGTTTGTAAACAGTATGTTAGAAGACCAACGAGTGCAGCATATAAGCCACAATTTACATTAAAGACCGTCAAACATAGAGGATCAAAAATAATGATATGGGGTTGTTTTTCTTACTATGGTGTTGGACCTATACATCGCATAGAAGGAATCATGAATCGGTTTGTATATGTAAAAATACTTGAAGAGATCATGCTGTCTTATGCTGAAGAAGAAATGGCGTTAAAATTTTTGTTCCAGCAGGATAACGATTCCAAACATACGAGCAAGTTAGCCAAATCGTGGTTTAATGAGAACAAAATTGATGTAATGGAGTGGCCAGCACAATCCCCCGACCTCAATCTGATAAAAAAACTCGTGGATTGATGTTAAACAAGCAGTTTCTGAAAATAATCCAAGAGGTTGTAATCAATTGTGGGACGTAGTAAAGTCAGCGTGGCAAAATATATCTGTCGAACGATGTCAGAATCTTGTTAATTCCATGTAACGAAGATGCTTGGCGGTTATTACAAATAAAGGTCATGCAACAATATACTAATGTAAAGCTTCAAAACATTTTTTACAATTTTTTTTGTAATAAAATTTAATTATTTTTCATACAATTTTTTTTTGTAATAAAATTTAATTATTTTTTGATTTTTTCATAAAAAATGATTTTCACTACTATTTTATTGCACAGTCTAAAAAAAAATACGAATAACCTTCAATCGATAATATTGAAATTTAAAACCATACAGTGCTGCAATTATCTTTCTTAAATTTTTTTTATACTATTATAATCACAACATTTAGTTTATGAACAATAACGGTAAAAAACAAACAATAGAAAAATATATTTTGATGTTCAAAATTTGTTGATAGAAAAATAAAATACGCACTAATATTTTACTGCACACGACTGTATATCTAAATAGGTTTATTAACAGTTTGTTTATTTTATAATCAGTGCCACAGTAAAAAACACACACAAAAAAAATATAAATACAAATAAACTTTAGATCAAAAGTATATATCAGGTAAATTTAGTTTTGAAGACTTTTTTTTTTTTTTTAGAAGCCAGAATTGAGTACTTTTTAAGGTTTCATTCCCACCCCCCTTCTTTTTATTCCGAGAATCGCCTCTGTTTATATATATATATATATATATATATATATATATATATATATATATATATATATATAATTGAAAATAAATAATTTATAACAGTTTTCAAACTAAAACTAAATTTTTTTTATTTACAATAATGATCTCATTGATGCTTAATATTAAAAAAGTTATTTTATATTGAACAAAAAAAGGGTTTCCAAATATAAATCATCATTAGGTTGCTATTTCTTCCGGTTTTGAACTTTGACTTTCGGATAGCAACATTGCAATTTGTCTAATTCAATAGCCTCTCGAATTTTTCTTGTATAACTATTTGGGATGAATGAAAGTGTCTTGGGATTAATCCAATTAAATTGTAACTTTGCCTTGTTATGCACGCTCGACAGTTCGTGACGCTTCCCAATTTGCTTTAGTCACATTTTTTTGATGTTCAGCTACCCTTTATTATGTTAATTTATGTTGGCGCTTTCAAGCGCCACATGTACATTCAAGATGGTAAACATCCGGGTAAACACCCGGGTAAGTGTTATGAGATAGCTTTGACTTATTTTGGTACAAGATGTGTTAAGAAGAGAAACTTTTCCAAAACAAAAAACTGTTTTAATACCAACTTTTCGAAGTTTACGTCTAAGATTAAGACTTAATTTAGGAACCCCCGAAAATATTATGGTATTATTTGTGTTAACTTGTTGACAGTTTTTTGTTGGGATGGTTTGAAACGTTTAATAACATCTAGAAGTTGTTCCAAGAATATCCATTTTCCGTAAAAGTATCAATTAGGAACTCAATTTCTTTTTATACATAATCACTAGTGCATAATTTATTAGCTTTTACAAAAAAACCTTTAAATATCTCTATTGCAATATATGGAGCGAGGTACAAGATTGCGGTTTTATAAGTACATTTGTTATTGCATTCTTACGGTGTACAGAAAAGTTATATTTGTGAGTTATATGATTAGTTGAATGCAATATTTAAGAAATTAGGTTGACTTTGATTATTTTGGTATTTGCATGTGTAATAGCTTTGTCTTGAGAATTTAAAAGTGTCAAAAACAATTCTGTTTTATCAAAGTTAGAAAATCGTGCATGTTAGTCGTCAACACATCTTTTAAATGTTATAGGTACAACATTAATGGTTAATGCTTATTGAATTGTATTATTCAATATGTTATAAGTAAGCTTCTGAAATTACTACCATTACGGATAGTACAATCGGACCAGAGTTTTTTAAGATACAAATTTTATTATCTAATAGAAAATAGCATTTACTAAGTCAGAGTTCTATTAATTTATGAATGTCAGTTAAAGTTAATTTAGTACACAGCTGAAGATCATTTTTATCATTATCATTTGATGTAATAAGATTGTATTCGTCGGTACCACTTGATAAAGCGATTATAGGTGTTATTAATATTTTGAACAATATTAAACATATTCTTCAATGGAGGAAACACACTAAAAATCACGTCTTGTGCGGTTGAAATAGTTTATTGACAAATAAAAATATTGGCTGTAATTTGAAGAAAATCGATTGCCTTTTAAACAAAAATTAAATATGTAAATAATAAATTGCCATTTTATTGTGTGGTTAAATGGAGATCATTTGAATAATTAGGTTTAGGACTATCAGCAGGATCTTTATTAGCTGATAGCTTCAGCATATACACCTTTGTTATTCAGATATTTCTTTTCCAACAAGTTTTAGGAAGATCTGGTCAAACCATATTTTGCTACTATAAATCAGTTCTATCTATACTAAGTTGTATTATGAGGGCTCTTATCTGACTGTTATTCAATTTGTTTCTCCGCGCAGCAACATTGTTTGCCAAGATTCATGTTTTGGCGTTAAAAAACTGAAAGAAGGTTGTAACCACAAAAAGTAGCCTCCTCGGCTTTAGAGGCCATCTCGGCCTAATGAAAGTGAATAGCAATAAAAAAAAAATTGTCAACACTAATAGTAAATTGCTCACATGAACAAACTTTTATTATTAATTCTGCCAAGCAAGTTCTTTACCCATTGTAAGAAATTTTGTTGTTGAAACTCTATTGAAACTCAATTAAAACTCTATTGAAACTCTATTGAAACGTTGTTGAAACTCTATTGGAAATATTTTTTTTAAAAATCAAACTCCTCTATTTGTTCTATTAACCCTAAAAAACTTCCGTTATTTTGTTCATCTGATAATATTAATACGCTAATTTAATATTATTAGTCGAATTACGTCATTTTCTAGGCTTTTCTATTTTAAAGTAGTTTCTAGGCTTAATTTTATTTACTAACAACGCGTATTACGGGTTGCTTACTGCTAGTTTAAATAATATTTATCATTCTAAAAGCCTATTATGTTTAGCCTTGAAGTTGTTGCTATGATTGATTCTAAAGTATTTTTTTTAACAAATTACTTTCTAAATGTAAAGAGTATTAAAAATTGTTTCATTTTTTAATACTCTTTGCATTTTTTTGTCAATAGTATTACTGTGTTTGTGTTGTTTTTTTAATTCTAAGCCATGTTGTAAGCTACTTAAATAATTAGTACATCTTTCATGAACTTTTTCTTCTACTTAAATAAAAGTGACTATTAAACTTTTGGTATGAAAAGCTAACGGATCAACTGCCAAAAAATCAAGTTTGTATAACTTACACGCAAACCGTGCACAGAAACCATAAACGCAAAAGGTATACATTTGTGTGTAAGTTAACCTCTTTGTTATTTGCTAAATTTTTTTTATGGTATTTGTTCATTATTTTTAGTGAAAAATAAAGTTCCTTTAAAAGTGTACTCATTGAAGAATAAGAAAGAGAGGGGGTCATTGAAAAAATTGGATTTTTCTGGTGCTTTCAAATTTTTAATTCCCAAATACTAATTTTTTGCTTGTGAAACCATGTTATAATCTTCTGGTTTTTTTAGTAGTGGTTTATTGCATAACCAATATAGCTATGCAATAAACCACTACTAAAAATTACTTTTTTTTCTCAGAATGTATTTAAGAGTGCAACTTTCAAGCCTAATACAAACCTGAAAATTTAAAACTATTTAAAAAAAAGATAGTTTTGTAAAACGTTTCCTAAGTTTTAATGTTTTTAAGTATATATTATTTTCTTTCTTCAATTATTTATTCTTCTTACACTTTAGTTAAACATTTTATTACAAACTTTAGTAGAAACATCCTTCCATTACGAAACCACATACTTTTTAAATGTTTTATGCTTTATAACCTACACCATTACACAATAACTTTATCTTTAAAAGGTGCATAGACTTTATCACTAAATGCAGGTACATTTATCATCCAATGACATTTTCTATAGAGAGAAAAAATAAAAAATGTTTATCAGCAAAATTATATATTATGTTATATATTATATATATATATATATATATATATATATATATATATATATATATATATATATATATATATATATATATATATATATATATATATATATATATATATATATATATATATATATATATATATATATATATATATATATATATATATATATATATATATATATATGTATATATACAGTGGCGACAATATAAATAGCGTATTTTCATGACCATTTAGTTTAACTTTTTGATATCAAGTTTTATGTTTTTATAACAATTGCTGTTATTTTTTATAGCATCAATAATAGTTACTTTTTTGAATGAATCTACTCATTAGACATTTAAAATTATCAATGTTGCTTGTTTTAGCATTTTAACGGTCGCGTTGAATTTTTTTAGGTCATTTTAAATAGCACGCATTTACTTTTTCTTATAAAAAAAACCAAAGTTCTTCTATTATATATAAAAAAAATGTTATACTCTGTATTTTAAGGATACAATTGTAATTCATTTTTCAAAAATCATATTCTTTTAACTATGAGACGAGATATACATGGAACAGATGTCTTTCGAGGACAAGTACAAGCTTTTCGAGATCGAGAATTGAACAACTCTGAAATAGCTCAAAGATAGGGTTGTTCTCGTAAAAAAAGTTATTAATACTATGAATTTATTTAAAAATACTGGTTCATTAAGCAACAAAAAAAACAAATCTCATAAACGAATCTGTTTACGCCTTAAGTCTTTGCCTAGGAGGCCTTCTACAAGACAGCAGCTGGATGCATGTAACATCTGCCCAAGATGAGTATTTTTATCGAGACACCATCTCTAGCCTTTACTCAACCAAGAGCCCCAAGGCAGGGGGTGTTTTAATTCGGAGTTAACTTCTCCTAGCCTTTGCCTAAAAAAGCGTATCCTACAAGGCAGCAGGACATGGAGCAGGTTGTACTGGGTTACATGTTACCAGTAGCAGGAAAACCTGACCTGACCTTAAACAGATTCTATTTGTTTGACCAGCCTCGCACCCCTTCCTCATCTATTAGGCTGGCGCAGATGTATTTTTAATACATTGTTTCCAGTTTAGGATGTTGAACGCTGGATCTTCTTGACTCAATGCGTGGGTATTGCTTGTGTCTCTATTTTTATGACTGGGCAACTCATTCTATTATCTCCTTATGAGGGTACAGCTCTAAAACTCAGTTTTATGGTTCTGAGGCCGGCTGGTAGTCAGGTTTCCCGAACTCTGTGGTAGCTCTCAGAGAGGCTGATTCCATCAACAGCCAAAAAATATCAGAGTACTAACAGTGCCATGTTGCGCATGGATGGTGTCCCTGTTTGTACTTTTGGTGTGCATTGCAGAGGCCACATTTGGAGCCCTTTGCAACGGCTTAGGGTTTATTAATAGTAATGAGGCTATTGCTTAGTTGTTAAATAGTGTACTGAGTACTATCTATACTTGAGTCAAGTTCTTTATAAATTTAAAATGACTAAAGTACCTAAAACTAATAAACACAAAAAACCATTGTCATCACCAAGTTCTCTAAACCTATCATTTACTAATATTCGTGGTCTTCGAAGTAACTTTTCTTCTGTTGAGTCTTATCTCTTGCAAAGTTCACCAGACCTACTTGCTCTTTGTGAGACTAATTTGAGTTCGGCTGTCCCATCTTGTGATCTTAGTGTTGATGGTTATCTTCCTTTAATTCGTAAAGACTCCAATAATCACATGCTTGGCCTGGGCATCTACATTCGTAAGAACTCACCCATTTGTCGTGAAACTAGGTTTGAATCTCCAGACTATTCATTTATGTGCTTTCGTTTAGCACAACTTCACTCTATCGCCTTTCTCTTTGTTCTATATCGCTCTCCTTCATCCCAAGATTGCACTATTCTTGATGTTATTTCTGATCAAATTGACCAAGCCCTCTGTCTTTATCCATCGGCCAATATCGTCGTTGTTGGTGACTTTAATGCCCATCACACCGATTGGCTTGGCTCTAGTGTCAGTGACTCTGCTGGCGTTAAGGCCCTCAACTTTTGCCTTTCTCAATCTCTAACTCAAATAGTCAACTTTCCAACTCGTTTTCCAGACAACTCTAATCATTTACCTTCTCTACTCGACTTATGTCTTGTTTTGGATCCTAGTCAGTGCTCAATTTCTCCACATTCACCCTTAGGTACTTCTGATCACGGTTTGATCTCTCTAAAACTATTATCAAATTCTTCTACTTCATCAGAATCCCCCTATCATCGTACCACATACAACTACCTTAAAGCTGACTGGGACTCTTTCCGTGATTTTCTTCGTGATGGCCTTTGGGTAGAAATCTTTCGTCTTCCTGCTGACAAATGTGCTTCTTACATAACTTTGTGGATTCAGGCTGGCATGGAATCTTTTATTCCCTCTCGACGATTCCAGGTCAAGCCTCACTCTTCTCCTTGGTTTTCCTCACATTGTGCTGCAGCAATTTCTAATCGAAACCGTTACTTCCATATCTATCAGCAAAACAATTCTCCAGAAAACAGACATCTGTTCACTATCGCTAGAAACCATTGTAAAAAGGTTTTGTCTGACGCCAAAGCTCGCTATTCCCAGGTCATTAAATCTCGTATCTCATCACAAAATTTAGGCTCTCGAGACTTCTGGAGAATCTTTAACAGTATCAATAATAAGGGCAAATCTGTTATTCCTTCTCTCTTGTATGGTTCAGACTTTGTCACCTCACCTAAAGACAAAGCTGAATTGTTTGCAAAGAACTTTTCATCAATATCATCTCTTGATTCCACTAGTTGCGTTTTACCTGACATAGCCGTCAAACAGGTTGATCCCTTGCTTGACATTCGCATCACTTCAGCTTCTGTATCTAAAGTAATTTCCTGCTTAGACTCTTCAACAGCTTGTGGTCCTGACAACATTCCTGTTGTAGTCTTGCAGAGGTGTTCTCCGGAGCTTTCATCCATACTTTCTAAACTATTTAATAAGTGCTTATCAGAGTCTTGTTTTCCATCATGCTGGAAAGCAGCATCTGTTATCCCTATTTTCAAAAATTCCGGAGAGCGATCTGATTCATCTAACTACCGCCCCATTAGTCTTCTTCCTGTCATAAGCAAGGTTTTTGAATCTTTAATCAACAAACACTTAATCTCTTATCTTGAATCAAATAACTTACTTTCTGATCATCAATATGGATTTCGGTCTTCTCGTTCTACAGCTGATGTGCTAACAGTAATAACCGATAGGTTTTACCGTGCATTAGATAGAGGTGGAGAGGTTAAGGCTATCGCACTTGACATTTCTAAAGCTTTTGATAAAGTTTGGCATGCTGGACTTCTCCATAAGCTTTCTTCTTATGGTGTAGCTGGTAACGTCTTTAAGATTATTGAGTCCTTTCTTTCCAATCGTAGTATAAAAGTTGTCCTTGATAGACAACACTCTTCTTCACATCCTGTAACTTCAGGGGTTCCTCAAGGTTCAATCCTTGGCCCTGTACTCTTTTTAATTTACATTAACGATCTTCCAGATATTCTCACATCTAAGGTGGCATTATTCGCTGACGACACTACCATTTACTCTTGTCATGATAAGAAGCCTACACTCTCTGATTGCTTGGAGGGGGTATCTGAGCTTGAAAAGGATCTCACTTCTGCTACAGCATGGGGCTCACAATGGCTGGTGAACTTTAATTCAGATAAAACTCAATTTTATTCGGCCAATCGTTATCGTAATAATTTAGATCTTCCTATATTTATGAATGGTAATGTACTAGATGAGTCATCTACCATTCATCTTCTAGGATTAACTCTTACTTCTGATCTTTCTTTTAAACCGTATATCAAATCCATTGCAAAATTAGCATCTGCTAAGGTTGCATCTCTTTATCGAGCTCGACACTTTCTTACTCCAGATTTTATTCTCTATCTCTATAAATCTCAAATCCGTCCCTGTATGGAATACTGTTGCCACATCTGGGGCGGATCTTCTAATGATGCTCTTTCTCTTTTAGATAAGGTGCAAAAACGAATTGTAAACATAGTTGGACCTGCTCTGGCAGCCAATCTCCAACCTTTGTCAGATCGTCGTAATGTTGCTTCTCTTTCTCTTTTCTACAAATACTATAATGGGCACTGCTCTAAAGAGCTAGCGTCCCTTGTGCCATCTACTAAAATTCATTCTCGTGTTACTCGCCATTCAATTAAGTCTCATCCTTTTTCTGTGACTGTTCCTAAGTGCTTCAAAAACTCTTATTCTTCTAGTTTTTTTCCTCGAACATCAGTTCTTTGGAATTCGCTTCCTTCATCTTGCTTTCCTGATTCATATAATTTGCAATCTTTTAAGTCATCAGTCAATCGTTATCTTGCTCTACAGATTTAGTCTTTTCTCTTCCAGTAACTTCCAACTCTTATAGTGGTTGCTTGCAGCCTTGTTGGAAGTGAAGATGTTAAAAAAAAAAAAAAAAAAAAAAAAAAAAAAAAAAAAAACGAAAGACAACCCCCAGAAAAGACGCAGTCATTGTCCATATCGCTAAGCTAAATCCTTTTGCTGGCGCACCAAAAATTAGAGATCAAATTGCTCAAAATTTACAAGTCAATCTTTCTGTCAGCACTATCAAATGTCGCTTGCAGACTTGCCGAAAAAAATCATTGATCTCAAAATCCTAATCTCGTTAGTCGTTTGAAGTTTGCAAAACAGTACGTACACATAGAGTTACGTTTTCGGAAAAATATGCTTTGGCTGACGAGTCTAAGTTTAAGTGCTTTAGATCCAACGGGAAACAATGCGTTCGTTGTCCCTAAAACCAAGAACTCAGCCTTCAGTATACTCTAAAGACTGTAAAACATACTGGTGGCAAGGTGATTATTTGAGGCAGTTTTTCATAGTGTGAAATACTAAAAAACATTATGCTGTTTTACGCCGAGGAAAATCTTCTTTTGGTTTGGAAATTCCAACAAGACAACGTCCTCAAGTACACCGTCAAAAGTGTTAAAACATGGTTTAACGCTATCAAGATTGATGTTTTTGGAGTACCCCGCAGTCACCAGGCCTTAATCCGATAAAAAATTTGTGAAAGGAAGTTAGCATAAACATATATCTGATGAGCTGCAACAAAATTAGACCAATTTTGGATTAAAATAAAGGCTGCTTAGAACGCCATTATTATGCCTGAACAATGCAAAAAATTAATCTCATCAATGGGCTGTTTAACACCACTAAATAATAATTTACCTCGAATATTGTTTTCTCAACTATTTATACAAAAAAATTTCTATGATTTTTATAGCAAAGAGACAAAGTGATAGTTCTTTACCAGGATGAGCTATTTAAACTGCCCCCTTATTCTGTACCTCTAAATTATTTATATGATCGAATTTTTTTTTTAACTAAGTTAATTTATTTTTTTATTCAGTAATATTATTTTCTAAAACTAATTTTTTGTTAGGCTAAAAAAGTTTAGATCTCAAAAACTCAGATCTCTGGAAAATACATCATTACGTTTTAAATCAATCTGTGCTATTTATTTTTTCGCCACTGTATTTATACATACTCACATACATATATTTTTTACCATAATTCACAGACCAGTCAGTAAATTTTTACAATATTATACTTTTTGCACACTGTTAAATTCATGGCTCACAGTTTGTGGTTACGAGTTTTAAAATCAATTTAAAAATAAACTTTTTATATTGCTATCTCTTTAACTTTTTTATTTATTTTAAATATTTTAGGAAACACCTACTTGTGCATTCAGCGTTGCAACCATTGCAGTAATTCGAGATGCATTTAAAACCAGAAGTGCAATTATGATTTAAACAGGGATCAATTAGGCAAGCACTGTTAACACAAGCTAAAAAAGAAAGTAAAGTGAGATCAAAAGAAAATTGAAATCTGCTTTGATTATTATCTTTAGTAAAAACACTTACGCTTGCACACTGCATTGCAACCGTTACAGTAGTTTGAGATACATTGTGAACCAGCAGGACAAGAATGAAATTTGCAGGGGTCAACAAAACAATTAAATATTTTACAAGCTAAAATATATTTAAAAATGAAAAAAGTTCAAAAAAGATTTTAAATAATGAAAGATTAAAAAGACCTAATAGTTTTTGCGCATTATTACACTGTTCACACATACTAACAAAAAAATTGCAATTAAAAAAAACAAACACAATTTCAAATAAAAGTACCCACGTTTGCACACTGCGTTGCAACCATTACAATAATTTGGAATACATTGAGTACCAGCAGGACATTCATAAAATTTGCAGGGATTAACTAAACAGTTAACTGGATCACAAGCTAAAACAAATAAAAAAATTTTAAATATAGTAATTTGAAAAAAAGAGACAACAAAGCTCACAAATCAACTAAAAAAGTTTAAATGTATTTAGAAACAAAATGGATTACAGTAAATAAAATTTAATTAAAATTCAAAATTTAATGTAAAGTACTGGTAAAGTTCTTATCATTTACAGTTCTTAAAATAAACCAAAAAAAAAATAGGAGAAAAAAATAAGAGAAAAAAAAGTAAATATTTACAAAAATACACATTAAATAAGCCCAAAATAATTAAGCATAGTTAGATATGCAAATAAATAAACTTTAATGATAATAGTATTGATTTTTTTTTTGTCTAGATTATATGCATTTAGTCTGGTGTTGTTACAACTACCTTTTTTAAAATTAAATGGCACTTTTAATAATGACCATATAGATAGCACCCTGCCAAGTTCTTAACTATATCCAAGATTTTTAAAGCTTAATGGTAAATGACCATCTGAATTTGTTGTTAATCAAAAAGCTTATGTGAAGTATAAAGGAAAAGTCACGAAATTTAACGGTTTTAAAATTTACTATGTAAACTTTACATGTTACAACTTCAAAGTTATTAACGATAATTTATGCTTTATTTTTTAATTTAGGTCAGCCAGCTGAATAATGATAGTGACTAAAAATTAAAAATACAAGAAATGTAATTAAACAAAAATCATTATTATTTTTTGTTGTTCTTTTTTCCAATAAAACACTTACGTTTGCATTCTGCGTTGCAACCATTACAATAATTTGGTATACATTGAGACCCGGCGGGACATTTGCGAAATATGCAGGGATTAACCAAACAGTTAACTGGTTTACAAGCTAAAATAAATTTTAAATTGTTAAATATAGAAATCAAAAAAGTTAGGCATCACATAATTGCTAAAAAAATTTAATTTATTTAAAAGCAAAAAGCTTCATTGGAAAACAAAATTTAATGTATATGCACATGCATATGAATATATATATATATATATATATATATATATATATATATATATATATATATATATATATATATATATATATATATATATATATATATATATATATATATATATACTATAGAAATATAGTTGTATCTGTTTTCAATCTGCAATATACGATACGATACCTAAAGTCTTAAAAAGTCTTTATCTACAGTGAACATCCTGGGGGAAAAGACTGAGTTTGATGATTAATAATTTTATTATGATAAAATAAATGATATAACAAGGTTTGATGAAAGTGAAATAATTTTAAATAATAAAGCAAAGTTTTATTTGTTTTTATGTTCTTGTTTACATTTATGAATAAAGTTTTCCTAAATAAAGTAAAATGTGATCAAACTAAATATTCTATGATTTTTTTAGCTCTTCGTCAGCTCTGCTATTAATGTTTTAAATGAAATAATGTCAAAATGTATTATACCATTGTTTAAGAAAGCTGGAACTTATGGAAATAGATCATTTAAAAAAAAACTTTATTGAGTAGAGTAATCATAGGTACTTTTCAAATTTTTATATTGTTCCTTTAATATACTGTGTGATATTTTTCATTACACATTTCTTATTATTATAATTAACATTTTGATGCATTTTTTTTACATGCTAGTGAAATGCATAAAAGATTTCTATGGTTGTTTTTTTTTTAGGAACATTAGTGTCACATACAGCAAAATTCGATTTGGTCGATAAGTTGAAAGGCGATTGTTTGAAGAGAATAATAGAATAAATAGGTTTAAGAATAGCAAAAAAAAAAAGAAAAATACTTTATTATGTTTTTGTATGGTTAAATTGTAAATAAACACAAAATGTTAAACCTTTTAGTTAATTATCCGGATCTAGACTTTTAGACCTAAGTTTTCATTTGTGTAAAGGTTTTCTTTTCTGTAAAACATAACTTATTTACTTAAATAACTGATACTTAGAAAAAAGATTGTTAAAAAATGTTAAAAATGACAAAACGTTTCATTTAGACGTAATAAAAACTAATAAATAAGCGGGGAACGGACGTTTTCAGAAAAACGTCCGTTCACCGCTTTATATCGACGTTGGAAAAACCAATAAAAAACGTTTTTGTAGGTCCATTAAAAAACGTTCACAAAACGTTTTTGAAAAAACGTCTACTTACCGTTTCATTTAGACGTTTAAAAAACCATTAAAAAACGTTTTTACGGGAATGTTAGAAAACGTTCGCAAAACGTTCTTGTGCCCACTGGGATAGCATGTTGGCCAAAATTCGCCATTACGTTAATCTTGAGACACTTTTGAATTTTTTTATGTGACTATATTCAACTTTTAAACTGTCAATTTGTCTGGAACCACCAATAAAATAACCTACCTTTAACTTTCATTAATTTCTTTTCCAAAAGTGCCAACACTCGTTATCACTTTCGTTCCGATAGTAATTTAAACCTGTCTGTCTCTAAACACCGCTCTCATAATTACGGGCATAAATCCATAAAATATTAATAGCACTAAAACTTGGAGCAACCTTCCTTACGAACTAAAAGCTCTCAATTCATTCTCAACCTTTAAAACCAGTTTATTCTACTTTTTATTAAAAAAAGGTAATCGCCTATAATGAATAGCCTATGAATATTAATAGTGCGCATAGTTACGCGTATTGTTTTATAGTTACGGTACGGTTCTGTATCTGTAAAATACACTTTTTAAGTAGTTTCTAAACTTTTCTTTACCGCGTGCTTACTTACAGATTTCCCTTCAACCTTTCATGGTACGAGTTCAAAATATCTAAGTTGACATTAAGTAGATAATGTTTAGTAGCTTAAAATTATAGGTAATCTAAATTTTTTTTTAATTTAAAAGTAATTAATTTATTGTAATCTTTTTTAAATTGTAATTTTAAATTTAAAGCTTCGTGTTATAGATTACTTTAATTCTTAATTTGTGTCTAGCGTTAAAATATATTTTTGGGTAGTTTCATGCTTTCACTTAGTTTTGGTTATTGGGATAAAAGCCATAACAACATTTTGTTATAAATTTATCTTAATTTAATTTTTATTGAAAATTTTGTTATAAATAAAATTTGTCTTTAATATTGTTAATACTTTAGCTCTTTGAAAAAAAATATGTTTCTGGCTCTTCAATAAATATAAAATTATTTGTCTTGCATGAATGAATTTTGGTTTAGGATTTAATTGTGTTAGTTTATGTTTGTCTATCTGTAATTTATTTAGGTTATTAGAAAATTTATGTTTACAGAGTTGTTATAAATCATAATCGAGTTGTTAAACCAAGGAAATTGTGGAGGTTTATTTATCATATATACTATATATATTATATAATTATATTGAAGGGAGTAAGTTTAGAAGTCTTTTTAAATTTTTAAAAAGAAATAAAAATACTTTTCAATATATATCTGTTTTCTTTGAGGTAGAATTAAAGTTTCAGTTTTTTAAAACTTTAAATTAACTTAACAATGTTAAAATGGTTTAAACGGATTTTTGTAAATGAATTTAATCCTCAAAGATTAAATTTTTTTTATTATTGAAGAAATTAAACTAGATTTAAGAATAAGTCGACTTAAATGTTTGTTTGTTTTTCTATTTAGATGATGACAATATTGAAGCAAGTAAGTTAAAAAGCATTTTTAAATTTTTAAAAAGAAATAAAAATACTTTTCAATATATCTCTGTTTTCTTTGAGGTAGATTTAAAGTTTCAGTTTTTTAAAATCATATATATTTTAAAATCCTATATATAACTCATATATCTTTGTTTTTCTATTTAGACGTTGGTAATAATATGAAACAAGTAAGTTATAAAGCATTTTAAAATTTTTAAAAAGAAATAAAAATACTTTTTATTATATATCTGTTTTCTTCGAGGTAGATTTAAAATTTCAGGTTTTTTAAATCATATATATTATAATATTAAATTCTTTTTTACTTTAAAAATATCTATATTATAGTTACACTGAGTCTTAGAAAAAAAATTAAAGTTTATTAATAAGGTAGTAGATTATTAGAGTAGATTAAATTGTTTGATCTATTACTCAACTTAATAACCTACTATTAATATGAAGATTTATTTTGGTTGTTTGTTTGTTAAAATTTAGTTAGAGTTTATTTAAAATTTAAATTCTTTAGTTAATCAAGAGAGATCTAAATAAGGTATTAATTACATTAGTTGAATGTGGCATTTAATATGTATTTTATCGATATAAGGAATAAAATAATAAGGAATAGAAAATTTTTAAAAATTTGCTCTGGAATTTGTCAAAAGAGTGTTGTGTTATGCTTCATTTTAAGGTATCTAAATATATATTCATTAAAAATTTTTAATTTTGTTTTTAAATGGTTTATTCTTTTTCACTACTTTAGATAAATATATACTGACTGACATAACTTCATTTTTATTAACAATGTCGTGCATTGTAGTCTGCATTCTTTGTTACATTAAAAATAATTGATGCTAATAAATGTTCTTTTATAGTTGTTAAAAGTTTGCATATATGTTTGCATTTATATTATGATCAAAGTAAAATTTTTTTTGATAAATACGTGTATGCGGTGATACTACTCAGGTATCACCGCAGCTTATCTCTATCAAGTACACTGATTTTTAATTCACATATGATGTTTTTCTTTGTATTTACTTATTCATTACATTTTTAACTTCAGATTTATGGTGTATTTATTTGCTATAGAAGAACAAATCATTTTGAATTTTTTAAAAATATCTACACCAATCAACATTTAAAATTCAATGTAGCATATACCAGCTTCTAGGCTTTTTTGATGCTTTTCTTATTCAAGTGGTTTCATAAGCAAGGTCTACAAGCAAATTTGAGATAAATTTTCAGCTTTCAAGGAGTATCAATGTTGTTCTCTGTATACTTTAATTTGTTTAAATAGAGTAGTTTTAGTAAATAAATGTTTGTTTGTTCTTGGTTTTTTACTTATTTGTTATCAGATTCTTAAGAATTAGGCAACTTAGCAAGCAAGATTTATTTTATTTTTTAGTGCAATTGGAAAGAGCTAAAGTGCTTTTTAGTTACTTCAAATCATTTGTTTTTATTTTTTAAATAGAAGGGTTAATAATAAAAATATATAGACAGTCGAACTGTTACTGATTTGAGTAAGTTTAATTTTTTGTTTAATTTTATATTAGATATATATTTTATGTATTTAACATGAAAAACTGACTGTAATTTTTGACAGGTAAGTTTATATACTTAAATGTGCCTATATATCGGAATATTTTATATTTCTCTGAATCTATATGAATATTATCTCAAAGAAAAAATTAAGAATAGAAAAAATTTGAATATATATACATACATATATATTACTTTAGACTGACATTGCTTCATTTTTTATACAAGATTCTGCATTTATTATTTTTGTGCATTAAGATTGTGCCTGAAGGCTTTCTTAATTTAGCAAAGAATTTAGAACACAATGCAAATAACTTTGCACTGTGTTCTAAATTCTTTGCTAAATTAAAATAATGTAAATAAATTTTGTTTTATATTTTTCAGTTGTAAAAATATAAAACGTTCATTTATTCAGTTGTAACAGTAGCATAACCACTGGTAATATATATTTAATGATAACAGATTTATAATATTAGGCTCGAAGAAGTTATTAGTGTAAATGGTTATAGGTGACTTGAAATTGTTGTCATATGAAAGAAATAGATCTAGGCATGATAAAATTAATTGTCGTTGAAATATAAGAAATTTTGCTTGATGAACCAAAAACTTACTTGGCAGAATTCAGTGTCAAGCGCTGTTGATGTCTATTATTTGACTTTACATTAGACACTTTAAAATAAAGCAAAGTATGAATTTTACTATTTATAGTAACAAATAATAAAAATTTCAGTTTTAAATGATTTTCTTTTTTTTTTTTTTTTTTTTTTTTTTACTTTTGTAATCTTAATATAATTGTTCATTTTTTTTTTAGTTGTCTTTGTCATCACTTGATTATTTTGCTTACTGTTAAAACATGGTTTTAATTTTGTAAATTTAATATGATGTGAAATTTACAATATTAATCATTTGTCAACAGTTAGAGAGAAGCTGGAAATAAATTAAGAAATGCTGGAAATTAACTTTTAGTTAAGGTAAAAATAATTTTGTTTATTGGTAGCATAATAAAACCAGTTACTGTTATTTATTGCATGACTTTTTTACTTTTTCTAACATGGTGTTTTTAAAACACTTCCTCTCTCTCTTAGATGAGACTTAAATAAGAATTAGTATTGAGAATTGTAGAGAGAGAATTGATTGGGGGGTCGTATGGGTTGAATGGGCGGTCGTAACTAAAAACCTTTAAAAATACGGAGAATATTGTAGTTTTGCGCATTAATATCGAGTTACTTAAGTTTTATTTATGTGTTTAACTAATTAGTTAGCTTAGTCTGTATTAGCAACACTTTTGAGGAAAGAAAGAAAACATTTTTATATAAGTAGATCATTGTTTTACATTTTAATATTTTATTTTATTCACCAGGCCACCATTAAAGCAAAAAGAGGGAAGGAACCTCTTTATTAGAGCCAAAATATTTAGAAAAATTAAATTTCGAGTTACAAAAGGAATTTTTAGTAAATGGTGGCAAATTACCGTTTACTAAAAATTTAATAAAATAAAGAGGCCAAATAAATGATATACAAATGGTCTGTGTTGAACAGACTTAACAAGACCCGGGTCGGGTCAGCTTGGTTTACAAATTTTTGTCTACTTATCTCTTATAATTTTTATTTTAGT